ACATTGCCCACACAAGATGTAGTGGATGGATATTTTTCAGAGCCAGACGAGACAGAGGCTGCTGAGGCAGGATGGGGCAAATTGATTCCTAATGGCCGAGGTTTTGAATTGCTTGGTGAGTGTAGTTATAGCACATTCTTTTTCAAAAATAAAATCTTATTTCTTATGTTGATATTAGAACATTTTTTTACAAATGATGACAAGTTGTCATCTGTTATTGAGTCGTATTAAAAATGGACAACAAAACCTCTGACATACATGTTGAAAATGTTTGCCCCCACCACTACTCTCCCTCCATATATTTTGTGGACAACATTCTTACCTGCAACTTTGCCCCAGGTGGTGAAGGGCCAAAGAAGGTACTGGTAGCGATCCCCCTTGATGGTAAAAATACGGGTTGGCCAATTTGGTATCTTACACATTTTCTTACTTTAGATTTGACGAAAGATGTCTATTTATTTGGCCGCGATGATAAATTAGCTGATGTTTGTTTTATGCAGGCAGCGTTCCATTCCAGTGTATTTTTTAGGCTGAGCAAGAAGCACTTTGAATTAATTAAGGTAATCTGACCTAGCTTACCCCCAGGGAAAATTTACACTCAACATTTCCATCTACAATTAGTTCTGTTGAGTGTGATAATCCTGACAGACTATGTAGATATAGTTTACTAGCCTTTCAAAATAAGCCGGCGGTCACCAGAGCAGATTGTCACCAGAGCTAATTGGAGAGCCATTACGCAGGCTACCGGAGCTTTGGTGGGTGTCACAAAGCTTATTGACGTTTACTGTGTTTCATAAGTACCGGTACATGAAATGTCAATTCTACCAGTTATTTGCCATCTTAAATCTTGAAGTTACCTTGTTGAAGAATGAGAGTAGTGATACATTATAATTTAGCCACAGAGCTCAGATGTGTTGCTATCTAATCAATTATGCACTAGTCTAGTTAATTTAGATGACATTAGGACTCCCTAGACAACCCTCCCCCCCCCCAATCCCCACCCATGCAGCCACTTATTTTATAAACACAGCCACCTACTCAAAATGGGTCATTCCTGAAAACTTCCATACTGCCCCCACGGAGGAAATAGGATGTTCACCCCCCTATGCCCTTTGGATGTCCTAATACATTTACTATAATAATTATCAGAAACATTTTTTTCTCCCCCTCCGGACGGCACAGAAATTTTCTCCGTGGGGGGGGGGGGAGTATGGATCTTTTCTGGAATCCCCCAATAATTCTGAAAGCCTTGAGTATATAATATAATTATACAATGATGACTCAATTGTTCTTTGTTCCAGGAAACCAGTGATGATGGTGAACATGTTGTTTACATAAAGGATTGGAGGTGAAATGAAGTGATTATTCTGTCAAGCTGATTTATAAAAGTTATTGAGCCACCTTAAATAGACTTATCATTACATCTTAAAATTTGTCAAACTGTATTATCAAAGTGCAAATTAATTGAGCTTTGCCTCATGTTATTTTGGTCTAAAATCTATTTTTACTATTTTTCAAGTTCCAATGGCACATTTGTCAACGGGGAGCTCATTGGTAATTTACTTTTTTGTTTGTAGCAGTGGAAATCTGGAACCTGTTGAGCTAGTGTATTTGACACCTTCCAATCTGCAAACATGTTGCTGATGTGCATGCAAAAGCACTTGTTTATAAATTATAAGACTACAGATTGGCTTTCTTGTTTAAATTAAAAATCTATAAAATTTATGGATGGGAGTTCATTAATAGACCCAGTCTGTACTTTTTGCACATTGCTTGGAAAAGTCATGTGCAATTTTCACTATTTGGTCCAGAATGATGTGCATATTGCATAGTGCACATGCACTGTCAGTGTTACAACAGTAGGAAATCTGCAGTATTAGTATGAAGTCAAACTGGAAGCTACTGTCATGACTCCTCTAATACCCAAAATGTGTGCACATAAAAGATTTTGTTTTAATTTTGCTTTTATTTGCAGGAAAAGGGAATAAGCAGGTTGTTCAACATAATGATCAAATTGCGTTCCCAACCTCGGAGAATCAAGGTAATATTACTACAGCATACAGTATATGCTACACGGAGCAATTTTTCTGCAACATGCACATAGACCGATGTTATGTATAAAAATTGATCACTCGATCACTAGTCCGCTTTGAGTTGGAGTTAGGTTTGGGGTTCGGGTCGGATCTGGATCACATAGGGTAGTATTCTACAATAAGCTGCTATGCTTTGTGTCTGAACTACCTGAAAAAGATATCTCAAAGTGGTGGTCCAGTGTACTGTAGGTGGTAGTGAGTCATTCTTTAACCTGTTGTGGTTTGTGTTTGAAACGTATAATAACGTCAAGTGAAGATGCATTATCAGGAGAAAGTAGTTATGTATAGATATGTAGTTAGTATAGCAGTTCTTCATATTTTTCACTAGGTAGCTGCATAGTGATGCATGTGGCTATGTGTTGCAAAGTGGCTGTAATTATTGCCACTACCTACTGTTGTATCATAGTGCATGTGTAATTGCTTTATATGATTTGATGTTTAGTTAATCGTAATGCATTTCTCTGTCTCCCCTAGCTTACATATTTCTGGATCTTGAGGCAACTAGCAAAGAGCAAGAAATATATCCCAAGGTTAAAAGTTAAATAATATATTGGTGTTTGTGTTAGTAGTTGGAGTGTTGTGTATGTATAGTAATTAGTTGAGAATAGTTATGGTGATTTTTTTAAATTTTATATTTAGGAAATTAAAGAAAAGTTCACTATATCAAGGGTTTTGGGAAGGTAAGATTTAACTTTTTTACTATAAATATCAAGAACTATAAATAACAAGAACTGAACATTGACAGGTTTTTAGTCAAAATGAATGGAAATTTCTAGCAAAGGTTTATAAAAATGTTAGACCTCTAACTAGGAGCAACTGTGAAGAATGCAATTAATGAAGCGCTGTCTTCTTTTCCTCAGGGGAGTATGTGGTGAGGTTCGTCTAGCATTCAGTAAAGGAAATGAATGTAACAAGGTTGCAATAAAAATCATCAACAAAAGGCAGTTCTCACTGACCGATGTTGTAAGTTGATTCAAATATTTGGTATAAAGTAATTTAAATTGTAGTGAAAATTTAGAGAAAATTTGAAGACTTACATGTATCATGAAGTGATTAAGATCAAAAACAGAATACATGATTATAACATAAACAAGCAAACAATTTTGTGTAGCAATTAATTTCTGGCACAACATTAAAACAACTTGTCCACTCTGGCTACCAAGAAGCAACTTCTGCTTTGCTCGTAATGATTTTTACATATTACAGATTTTTACGTAATGATTTCGGTACATATTGCTCACAGATAAATGTAAACAGTCATTAATATTTTGTATATGTTTTAGGGTGATAGACGTGACATTTTAGAAGAAGTGGAGATTTTGAAGAAATTGGATCATGTATGTCGACAAATCATTGTGAAAATAATTGTGCACTGCCGCATCAACTTTTATCTTCATTTGGGAGTTGGCAAGCGAGGTTGCATGAGAGTTTTCTCTACTCTCGTGCCCTGGTCAAACAAGAACAAGAGTTGCATGAAAGTTGATGAGAGTTGAGAAGCGAGAGTATGCATGAGAGTTTTCTCATCTCTCGTGCTTCGGTCAAACGAGAACAAGAGTTGCATGAGAATTGAGAAGCGAGAGTTGTCATAAGAGTTCTCAATTCTCATGCCCCGGTCAAACGAGAAGCGAGAGTTGTCATAAGAGTTTTTTTCTCAACTCTCGTTTCGGTCAATGAGAACAGCAGTTGCATGAGAGTTGATGAGAGTTGCCTGGATATCCTGTCGAACAAGCAAAAACTCTTATCTTAGACTTATAAATTATTAAATTATCATTATCAACTCTCATCAAAATTTGAACCACTTCAAATTTCAAAATAGATTGACGAGAATAAGTTGACTAGAGTTCGCGCTCAAACGCTAGCGAAAGTTGCAACTCTCGTCAACTCTCACGGGGACTTTAAAGTGCTATGACACGAAATTTCTTTTCCTGTCGTTTTCATTAATAAAAATTCTCTTCACTCAGCCATCTATAGTGAAAGTTTTTGATGCCGTGGACACACCGGAGACTTTATATATTGTTTTAGAATTGTAAGTAATAAAAGTTCAATTGAAATTAATATAAAGTTCATCATATTATAAACAGGTTTGGAGCCTATATCTAAAATATCTTCCGTTATTATAGCATTGAAGGAGGGGAATTATTTGATCGTATTACAAGTTTAAAGAAACTGCAAGAACCCCTTTCCAAATTATATTTTTACCAAATGTTAGTCGCTGTTAAGGTACGTCAAAGTTAGATTTGGTAGGTCTTAAACTAAAATTAAGTATACAAACTAATAAAACTAACTTCACTTATGTATCATAATGGTAGGTTCCATCAGTTCTAAACTGTTCTTCCTATAGAGGTCCAGTGAGGGTCATCTTACATGTTGGTCCAGTGTTACTATATCAGGAAACTAAACTATATAAACTTTATTTACAGTATACTGGAAAGCTTTATCAGTTCTAAACCGTACTCTCCAGAGGTCTATTGTCATCTCTTATTGATCCAGTGTTACTACAGCTGACTTTACTTATACTCACTTTATTTATTTATACCTACTGTACTTTATTTATACCGGATATAACTCTTCCAGCTCTAAACTGTTCTGCCTAGAGGATTACACAAACCTGCACTATGCGTGGTCGACCGCTTATATATTAAGTTGAAACTGTTAAGGAAATCGGATATTAAATTTTTGGTTTTATTTTTTAGTATTTACACGACAGAGGCTTTACTCACAGGGATTTAAAGGTAAAAAAAGGCCTTTGAAGGTTAGAAAGCCTAAAGTTTTGTAAATGAACATGATTTTTTATCACCACCGGCAATGATTTCCTTTGTCTTCCCTCACGAAATATATGAAGTATTGTTTAATAAACGAGCAGGAGTGTTTTATTAGGTTTAAAGACACGAGCGCGCAGCGCGAGTGGCTTTAGACCTAATAAAACACGACCTGCGGGTTTATTAAACGGCTTCAAACACGACTACAAATTCAATAGATATACTGCCTTATTAGTATTCTTTATATAAAAAATACTAATGAGGGCACGATTACAATAGATACTGCCTTATTAGTATTCTTTATATAAAGAATACTAATTAGGAGTGTTTTATCAGGTTTAAAGCCACTGCACGTGACATATTATGGTTGACATGATTTGTCAATAAGCTTATGAATTATTAATGAGTGTTTGAAGGAGTTTTTAAAGTTTTGTTATATGTGTTGAAGATTACCACAAACTGCTACAAACACAGTTTTCAATCCAATCCCCCCTTGGGAATCTGAGATCCAGTCCCCCTCGGCTTAAGCTCGCTAAAGCTGTGGGTTGATAGGCCTGTGAAAACAGGCCTTTCACTACTACGTGAAAAATACAAGGGAAACTTACATGAAGGGCTCAAAATACCTATATATATTGCTCTTTTTTTCTGTGTTGGTGTAATGTACTCAGGTGAATATGATGCTTGTGATGTTACTCTGAGTGTATATCCACACCGGGCAAGCTTGAAAAATATGCCCGGCCACGGTGGGAATCGAACCTACGACCTTTGGAATGCTAACCCAAAGGTCGTAGGTTCCGATTCCCACCGTGACCAGGCATATTTTTCTAGCTTGCCCGGTGTGGATATACACTCAGAGTAACATCGCAACATCATATCTATTGCTCGTATTTCGTATAGAAATGTCTATTGCTCGATCCGTAGCTCTTCTAATTATTATATGCGGTAAAGTTTACACGGCTCCGTTTTGTAATGATTATTTTGACGTTTATTTTTTGTAGCCAGAAAACGTTTTATTGAGCTCATCCAAGGACGATACCCTAATTAAGGTTTGTTGCAAGTTGGGGTCTGATTATTACCTGGGCCGATTCGTTTCACAAAAATCTTTCCTTTGCGACAAGAAAAGATTTGGATTAAGACAAGTTTATACCTAAATATTCCTATCAACTTTAGGAAAGTCTTGAAGTCGCTGCAAGACGTTGAAGAAAGTAGTCAACCTTCTGATATAAGAGGGAGGAGGCCCTAGGCTATTTTGCACCTGGCAGCCTCTCCCCCCCCCCCTCCCCCCTTAGTCATCTTGCCGTCCAGCTGTTTTATGAGCGGCTATTTGAACGACCACTTGAAACGGCTTCTAAAATTCTGGGTTATGATAAAATGCGGATACGGACTGACGGATGGCTGGCTGGCGGACGGACGGACGGATAGCAACGAACGGACGAATGATTTATGTGTTTGTTAAACATTAATTAACAATCATAATACGAACATTTTCTATCCTTTTGGGTAAAACGCAGATATGACTGTTAATGAAATGACGTTTAACGAGAATATAAGTTGTCCGCCCGTTGCCATCCGTCCCTATCCGCGTTTTATTCTGATCGCTAATACCTCGAAGAAATTGTCAGAGATCTTTACCACCACCCATAGAGATTCACCGCCGCGTTAAGTTATAAATTAAAAAATTCGAGATCTTTGCTACGACCGTGATTTGAATCCGATGTATTTACGTCTTTCTAGATTACTGATTTCGGGATCTGCAAGTTCGTTGGGGAGCAGTCGTTGATGAAAACCCTGTGCGGTACGCCTACTTATCTGGCGCCAGAGGTGTTGGCATCAGACGGAAATGTACCTTATGAAAAGGAATGTGATTGCTGGAGCCTTGGAGTTATTCTCTTTGTCTGGTATGAAATATTTAACAATTATTGCAGGAGATAGAGTATGATATGTGTATGTTATCATATACGAGGGGCGAAGAGATACCAGTTTTGGGACGATATCATAAATGTCACGATTGTATGCAGCGAACCGTTTATGAAAACATGTTTATTATACAACACTTAAAGTGGATAAATGAGACCTATAAAATTATCCAGATAAACATATACTGTATATTAAGTTATATAAAACCTACAATCTTTGACAATATAGACTGGGACAATCTAGTTTTCGCATGCATTCGGTTGTAATATACCTTATCCTTATACATTTTTTCACCACCATCTGTTTCCATGTTGGCGCCTCGCAACCAGACATCAGATTTTTGTCGGCCCAACATTGAACTGGGGGAACAGGGGGTGTTATTCTTTTCAAATTATATGAAATTACAGCCGCTGTCCCATAGTTTCTGGCAAAGATTGTACATAAAATTTCAGACGGATTTCTGTCCCCAAATTTAATACACTAGGTACAGTACAGTACATGGTCTTGAGTACAAGTCTTTGAATTTTACTAAGTTAAAATAAAATATTAAAGTGGAAGTCAAGTCCGTTCTGCGCATCGGTTCTGCTCATAAGAATGTGAGGGCCTCTAATGTGAACATTGCCCAAATTTTGAATGTTTCGAATTTTTCTGAACATAAACTCTATTTCATATTCACTTAGAAGCATAGCGAACCAAAATAGTGTTAGATATTCAGACAGTACATCATATTTTACAAAATACAGCAGTTCAAAATCTTGACTTCCACTTTAATATTTGTGTTTCAGCCTTGGTGGTTATGCGCCATTTACAGAGCGTCCTAACAACCCTTTGAAGCAACAAGTGATGAGGGGGTCCTTTTCGTTTCCTGAGGTTGTGTGGCAAGGTATCAGTAGTGAAGCGAAGGATCTTATTAAAAAATTACTAAATGTGGACCCGAGTAAGAGACTAACTGTGGCTGAGGCCTTGGAACATCCATGGATGAAGGTACAGGGAAATATTTACTAAATTGTACCAAATGGTTAATAATTTAGTACCAGAAACTACCAGAAGAAGTAAAATTTAGTGATAGTTTTCCAATCTTTAAGAAATGTATCTCATATCATGCCTAAAACTACAATGCATAATTAGCAATGGCTCTTAGTCTTTTACTGGACCTCTCTCGAAAATCGTTTTCGGCCTATTCATTATAAAAAAGTTCAGTTTAGCTTTTCTCCTGTAGTATAACACTCGCTGGATCACTAAATGAAGAGCAACCTCGTACCCAGGGCCTTTCCTCTTGACGAGGAGAGAAAAGACCCCGGTAGACGCTGGTCACGTGATCTGCTAAAATCTAGCAGATTTAAGTTAGCAAGCCAAGTTCTTCCTTCCCCAAGAGGAAAAACCGTGGGTACGAGGTTGAATGAATAGTAGACCAGTTTGAAGTTGATAGAGTAATCCAGTATAAATGAAATTAGTTTGGTTCAGGTTTCCTCCAGGACCAATAAATGATGGCTCTTACTGGGAACAGTTTAGAACAGTTTAGTTTGGTTTTGGGTCCTCCTGTATCATCCAATATAATGTTGGTTGTTTCACTCAGGATGAAGAGGTGATATGTAAGGCAAAAAAACTGATGGAGCCAGACAGTAAAAGAACGTCTATGGCACCTCCTACTCTGACGGTATGTATTTAACAGTTTCTCTACACTTCAATTCCACAAACAGCCCTAAACATTAATTTAGCAAAGAAAGAATGAAATACATGTAGAATGTCCATGTTGATGGGGTTGTAAGTATTAATTTTGAGGGTATTGGGGACACAACCACTAAAACCTTACTAAAACCAGACATGTTACTCCAGTACGGTGCCCTAGAGCATGCGCAAAATAAGTGCACCACTATTTTTGAATAAATGCGAAGACGTGTGTTTCAAACAACCTTACAATTCCCCGATAAACTAAAGATCGATTTACATCGCACAATTTTTGCCTAAAGCTGTCGCATACAACCTGCTTACAACTTGAGTTGTCCTGTGGAAATCAAGCACACAACTAGCTTACGACAACATAGGTGAGTTGTGTGCTTGATTTACACAGAACAATTCACAACTTGATTTTCACTGTCTTCGATATAGATAGACCTAGAACGTGGAAAACTCTGTGTAGCAAGTGTCGTTCGTTGCAAACAAACTGTTGTTCGTAAATATGTAGGAATGTATAGTTCATGATATACCGTGATTGTAATTTTGTGTATTGTTATATGTTTAGTGTAATTTTTGTAATTTTTTTGGTGGGACTTAATAAGGAACAAATAGTTCTGTTGTCCTTTCCATCAATCGTACGATTGTTAAGTTAATAAAAAAAACTCAAGTTGTAAGCAGGTTGTATGGGACAGTTTTAGGCAAAATTTGTGTAGTCTAAATTGGTCTTAACAAAGTAACAGAAGGCAAGTCAATTCTGCAGTTTAGAATAATTCCTGTATTATGGCATAATTTTAACGTTGTTTCAAATCCTGCATATTTTTGCCTATCTAGCCAACGAAACGAAAGGCAGAAAGCAGCGACAGTGACACGTCAACAGCCACTAAAAGACAAAAGTCCACTGATGAAGAGACAGCAATTTTATAACATGTAATTATACACTTGTACAGGTCAGCGTAGTTATGAAATAATTATTAGTGATTTATTTACGTAAGGCAATTAAATCAAGAGATTTTTAGGTAGACCATTTGTTCAGGGAATCATATGTATATACAAACCGCGGAGAGTTTCTGCGGGTGTTTCCTGCTGTAGTAACTCTATTATTACTGTAATTTTAGTCACTTTTATAAAATTCATTTAATGAATAAATAAAGTCAATAAATGTAGATTTAATATCAAAATTTGTGGGACCGGACCCCTCCCTCCCAACCCCGCCTGTAATCGAAGAAAATGGCAGAAAAATGTTCCTATGCAGGGGTTAGTTCGACCATGGTAATAAAATAAATTTATTTTATTATCCATGGTTCGACAAGCCTTCTGATCATATCCGTAATAACCCAATTTACATGAAGTACTGTATTGGCAATGGCATTTCAAAATGGCGGAAATTTTGAAAAGTATAATACTTTTCAAAATTGTCAGTTTCCATTTGTCTTTTGACATGCTTATTTAATACTTTCCAAACGGCAACGCTTGATCAACGGATAGGGGTGAAGAAAAGAAGGAATGTTTCCCTATTAAGAGGTACATAGTACGTTGTTGGTTCATAGTTGTTTTCAAATTTGTATATTCTGCATACAGTAAGGTGATATCAGGGCCGTAGCTAGACACGATAATTGGGGGGTATATTCATCAAAATGTTCACGTAACGTAAAACAATCCTTTCAAAAGAAATCCGTCAGGCAGAATACTAATATGAATATGCCCCATTATCGATCTAGCTACGGCCCCGGGTAATATTAATCATATTAGAACACTTAATAATAGGTTCGTACTCAAATCTTTAGGAATTTCTGCACAGACAGCTACAAAATATAATATCTGCAAAACAGAAGGTTCATACTAAACTACTTGTTCATCAAACTGTGGACACACTGGAAGACAAATGTGAAAACAAAAGAGTGATAATATGGTAAAATTCCAAGATTCAAGGTGGATATATCAACATCAAAATTTCATATCTTGTGAGAAATGTAATGTCAAGATCCAGTTTCCAGCAATGGTGCTGAGGAAAGGAAGGAACTTATGAAGAGGAAGGAGTTCAGGTTAGATTCATTTTATGCATAGTTATGTAAATCCTCTCAAATGTACAAATACTGTATGCTGCATTGGCAGCAGAAGATCAGCTCAGATGGGGGAGGCCAGACATGCTTCGATCCTCAGAAAGTTTTGAAATCTATTTCTGGTGGGTATACAGCTTCTAGGACTCCTGTTTGTCCAGTTAAGACCCAGTGCATCAATCCTGGGGGGGGGGAGGGTACATCCCTTTTTGAACATTTGTAATATAATCCGTTATAGCTGGCTTCCAGCCCATTTTTTGAAATAGATTTTCACTGTTGGTCAAGACAAAATTGTACTAATTTCAGTACAGTTACAAACTGGCAGACTTGTCTGGTCAATTGTGAAAAAATGCGCAAAATTCCTCAAATCGTATTTGCAGTTACTACGAATCGTAGTAACTGCAAAGAATTTCTGAAGAATCTGCACAAACGTCAAAACTATGCCTTTGTGAACCAAGAACCATAGAGATTTTTGATCTTCCTCCTTGATAAAAACGCTTCCTGATTGCAGGATCCCCTGGTCTGCCATAATTTTTTTTTAAACTATCCAACATTCCTGCGCATTTTTCCCGAGGAAGAAATATTTTCTGCGCAAAATAAAACTTTTCAGTCTGCAGGTGATATACGGAAAACCCAGTAAACTCGCCACTGTTAAATACAAAAATGGAAAACTGGATTTTTTGGAAAATGGAAAATTGCTTCGAGTTATTTTCAGACAATAAATGACTGTTAGTTATATTCTGACAAGAAGTCAAGTGCATTCAAACCACAAGTAAGAAGACGACTAAAGACACTAGACACCTTAAGATTGACGTTTACGGCAAACGTCAAACTGCTAGCGAAGTTTTTGATTTTACAACTCAATTATAATAGCTTTTACACCAGTTTTGAAATATGTTGAACTTATTAAACTTGTGCTCTTTAGGAATGATTTAAGAAAGCAAATTAACCACTAGTCGTGTATTCACCAAAGCAGTAAAATAAGATCTGCCGTTTGAAGTCGACGTTTGGCGTATAAATTTCATACTTGAACTGCTATGAGGGCTTGTAGTCGTTCAAGCATGAAATTTATACGCCAAACGTAAACTTCAAACGCCAAATCTTAATTTACTGCTTTGGGGAATACAATTATTAGTGGTTCATTTGCTTTCTTAAATCATTGGTAAATACCACAAGTTTAATAATTGTTTAATATATTTCAAAATTGGTGTAAAAGCTATTATAATAAAGTTGTAAAATCAAAAACTTCGTTAGCGGTTTGACGTTTGCCGTAAACGTCAATCTTAAGGTGTCTACTAAATAGTCTGTGCCATGCAGAGTAAACAGTTTAATCTGATTTTAATCTGGGCCTCGTACCCAGGGCTCGGGCCTTTGAGGTTACTTTCGATTTGTTGAAGTCGGTATTTAAATTCCCGAAATTTAAATTAGGGATACTTGTCACATCAATATTATTATATGACTGTGAGTGCAGAAAATGTTCCGGCATTATTTACAAGTAACATTGAAACGTCTACGATTTCAGTAAACTAACCTAAATTGAAACGTAAACCTACAACGGACTGAAAAATCGTGGGCTTTACTGGAGGAACCGGAGATAAGTTACGGCAGCTGACAGCGTCCAGGCTAGCAGGTACGAGACGTTTTGTAGCATTGTTGCAACATTGCAATCTGTTTTGTATGAGTATCATATGGTAGGCTACTAAGTTCTCGCTTTAAATTGTATAGCGTAAATCAGTATTGTAACAATTACAAGATATTAGGCTTGTATTGTAGTAAGTTTATGATATTTTGGATAGGAAACGACCGATATTAATGCACTTGACAAGTAGACAACAAACCTATGGCAACGGAAAATAAACACTCTTTCACGATTTAAGTGTTTTTGTTGAGATTCACTGATTTATTCGTCGTGATACAGTCAGAATACAATAAGAACCTTTCTATACTATAACTACCGGGCCGTAGTCTGTTGATGTTGTTCCGTGTATTTAAACAATACTCTATAGCGGTTACAAAATTATGAGGATGTATAAAACCGGCGGTAAAATTAAGTTTTCTATGTTTTTTCGTTAGATTCACTGCATGTTAACACATGAAGGTTCTGATATAGGCGATATTTTAACTTTCATTGCCGTATTTCCCGAGTAAAACAGAACAAAATACAATAAATGACGTCAATGAACCACAAAAGCGAAAGTGAAGTTCTAGCATTTTGAGTATTTGACTGTATAACTGAGTTATCTTTGTCTTGCTTTTATGTCCTAAACTTTTAGTGCTAATAAAAGTTACTTAAAATATACTTATACAGTATGCCAACAGACAATAATGATATCCTAAGATGCAAGTAAACCTTGGCTTGTTAGTGTGGGAAAATTACTCACCTATTCTTGAATATATCAAAACTAACCCCCTGACGATTTTGGAATGTTATACTGTTTCGAATTTTACCAGACCTTGCAATTGTGCCGTGCCAGACGTTTTTGACATCAGGTGATATATCATGTATATTGTCACAATCATTTGTGAATGTAGCTATCATATCTAACAGTAACGTGGATCAAAATAAATCAAGTCCCTATAAAATGCATCTTGAAGTTATAACAAACATGCATGCATGGGCAGGTTTTAACATGCGTGGGCATTGGTTCAGCGTAGACGCGCTACAATTTGACTCGAATCGTAACACTAAGGCCCAAGGAGTGAAACGAGTGACCCAATAAAACGATTTGGGCGAGGTCTAGCGAGTCGACTTGTCACGCTTGCAGGAAATTGCATCTCCTTGGAGCAAAAAATACCATGACAGTAAAAATGAATAATTCAAAACTCCGCAAATGTATTTAATATTTCCTCTCAGTTTTGTTTTGGTAAACTTCGGGTGCAAAAGCGACAAATAGACTCCTCGTCTCTAAAATCCGCACTTTAAGAAATTGAACTGAGGTCAACTCCGCAGCTAAATTATTAAATAGTAAATAATACGAAGCGACTTGTAGCCAGTCTTAGTAAGTCCAGGTTCAGCATCCGAAAACTGCGTTGTAAATTACGAGAATAATTACGTTTAGCATAGGCCTTTGCTGCCATTTTCTCATTAATTTTGGACCTGTTATACGAAAAATGTAAATGTTATGTAAAATTATTCGCAGAATTAAGCAAAGAAGCTCTACTAAGAGTTTACCAATTTAACGTGTGCATTGCTCACCTTTTCTGACAGATCAAAATGAAGAGGCGCCGGAAACGGCGAAAACCGTCCTTGCAGCCACAAGTGATTCTTGTTGGAAATTCTGGCAGGATTTGTCGAGATAATCGACTATGCCGTCTCCGCATGACGAAAAAATACAAGAATTTTCTCATGGAACAAGAGAAGGAGAAAAACGCAAAGGTAATTTTACTATTTTACAGTATCTCCGAAGATTTGACATTCTTTTTACAAAATTCTACATTCCTGAATAAAAAATATCGGTATTTAGAGGATAAGCTTTGACTCAAAATCTTTAGTACTTTACCTTGGCCAGAATTTGATTCGTTTAGTTTAACATCATTATTTTTATTCAAGTTCGTGACGAACTGTTCGTGTATTTTCAATAATTTTAAAAGTTCGGCTTGTTTGTATATATTTTCGTGTAGATATCCGAAATGTCAGAACTGGTTGAACTGTATGAAAATTTGTTATGCCTGATACACAACCTTAATCAAGAAAATGCTAACAATTCAAACGCAGATTTATTACAGGTACGCCAATGGATGGGTGGTAGTTTATATAGGTTTTGTATGTATTTATATTACATTTGATTTTAACAGTTTGTAAGTCTTTGAAATCGATACATGTATGCAGGGGTAGCTCGGAACACATTATAGTCATTATAGTATTTAGATTGTGTCATTTATATTGTGACAAAGTATAAAACTTTTATATAAAGTCCAGTGCCTTAATTTTCTTTGGAATTAAGGAATTCCAGTCCTGGGGAGGGAGAAGGGATTGCTATAACAATAAGAAAAGGCTATAATTGAGTCAGTATTCATTCATGGTCGTAAGTTAGATCTGCTACAACCTGGAGATGGACATGAAAAAACTGACAGATAACTAAAACATCTGACTTCAACATCAAATCTGTATACTGGTGATATTTAGCTATGCCTATAGTTGTTACTTCTAGCTAGAAGTAACTATAGTCCTTTAGCAAAATTTTGTGATAAGAATTTGAAAACTGCATGTTACCGAGCATGTTACATGCATGTTTGGTTTCCTTTGTTTCATTCATGTTTCTAATTGTAGGAATTAAAAGAGATGAAAACAAAATATCGAGAAAGATTACTTCACTTGGAGTCAACGTTCATGGACAGCAGTCCTGACGCCTTAAATAGTTTGTATACAGTTTTTTTTTTCATTTGCATAAAACTTGCACGATTACAGATGCGTGCATGGATTGTAAGGTGATGTTGCACACAAAACGATTTTCTATGACGATTTGCAATTTGTGGATATCGTAGTACTTTAAACTTTTTTGCCTTAAAGTTCATGCAATATTTTGCTTTAATTTCCAGCCTAACTGCAATGCCTTCGATGGTTGAAAAATTATTGTTACAGCTTTGTTAAGTTATTCCGCTAACGTTTCTGCCTGTACACATGAGAAAAATATAGCAAAGTGCCTTTCTGCAATTAATTTTTGTAAAGCTTTCCTTGGTAACGTGACCTTTCTGGAAATTCGCCATTAAAATTCCGTTTTTTATCAGAATATTTAACTCGCTAATTTTCTTCAAGTCTTTTTATGACTTACTTGTAATTTGTTGCATTTTGTCCAATTATTAGCAAAATCAATCTCGTTTTCTTCTCTTTCAAAACGTACCCAGGATCAGTACGAGAGATCTTGAACTGCAATTCTAAATTCAATAAACAAAAGAAAACAAATCGCAGTGGCTTACCAAATAAGGGAAAAAGAGAATTGAAACGTTCCACGATATTCAGTGGCAATGCCAAGGTACATGGTATCAATAAAACATCACCGGCGGATTTGAGGAACAGTATTAACAAAAGTGACCAGGTATTAACAGTAATATATAGTAATTCTTTCCATCGGCAACGTTTTCGCGATACATACTGTAAAAACAATGGCGTAAACGCCGTAGTTATCGTATGAGTACTGTCTATACCGTTATATCTCCATCCACGTTTGTGTGTATGTGATTAAATTTTGGTTAAATTTGAATGAAAAATATTGCAAAAAGTTTTTCTTGCTTTGCCAAGTAAACTGAATGCGTAATTAGCCCATCATATAATTTATCTATTATACATGCATAACTTCATTTGCTAGCTGGCAGAAGTGCAATCTTTGAGTGCTCTCTAGTTGTTACAGTAATAAATTTTATCTCTTTATAATTTAGAAAACAAAAACGAGTTCAATTTCTGAAATGAAAAGCAATGAATCTCCATTTGTAGTAACAAGGTAATTATTCTTCATTTACCATAATTTATCGCTTTTGTTGGGACAGGGCAATTCCTCGTGCTGCTGAGCACCTATTTCTAATATAAACACATATTCTGATTGGTGTTTTGAAACAAAAGCGATCAGAGTTTGTTCTGACTCCTACTATAAGTCGATTACTATATTTTATTCCCATAATCAACTAATCACAAGGCTTGTTGATGTATGTACGGGATAATCGCCCCCCTCCGTCCTATATGTACTAGAAGGTTCACAAAAATGTTTTCTCATTTAGAAACAGTTGGTCTGGTTGCCATAAAAGTCCCATCTCTGGTTGCTATAAAAGTCAAATCTTTGCACGAAAAAGCAATTCACAACCACAGGCAATCAATATCGACCTCTTTTCATATGGCAATAATTTATATGATGTGTTGGCACAAGAACTTGAAGAAGATGTGATTAAGTACAATCTTATGTTTGGAGCAAAAGAGGTATAATTCGATAGAATTTAATTAAAAAATCAACACATTTTGAATAAAATTTAGAAATTATTTAGAGGTATATATAATTTAGAAGTATATTTATAGAAATTATACTTTTGTGTTTCTTGGCGGTATGTTTGGTATGTGGTCGTTATCACTGTTCTTGTTTAATGGTATTCTGTGTTTATGGTCTATAAACCTGTCAATAATATGACTTTTTTGTGTCTATTTTGTTTAACGAGTGTACATTGCATTATTATCAAGGTTGACAAAGAAAAAACTTTGTTTGAACAAGAAATATACCATGGATTAACTGTTGATTTAATCTTACCATTGTATGGAGGTAAGTAATAAAGATGAGCAGTTTTGAGAATTAGGTAATTTGTCTGAGAGGTCGTTGTCACTAAGTTGTATTTAGGTGTTGTAAGGTTATCTTACTTACCTGTGCAGTAAATAGATAAAGTATCATCGTTGTTTATAACGGATAGTCAACTCAGGCTTTAGTGGGTGAAAGAGAGCCTGCAAGGATCCCTATGATATTTACGTGCATGCGTCCAATATTTGGACACAGAGCTCTGATTGGTTGATAACTGATTCAAACGAAGTGATTGACAAGCTTCCGTCAACCACACTTCCCGTTTGTAAAACCGAACAACGCAAAGCTTCGGAATTGCGGCAATGTAGAGATAAAGTATCATGTATTTGGTATCCTTGTTGCATGCATGTTTACTGTAATTCCACCTTTTGTTGCAAAATTTGAACTACAAACATATTAAATTATGTCCAATGTCCATGGTATATCATATATGTCTATGTCTCACCAAAGCCATAAATTTCAGTAAGTTATATTATTAATTTATTACTATAGTGCTGGATATATATATATTTATTGCCGATTGCAGCATGAAGCAATTACAAACAACTGAATTAGTTAGCGGGTAATATACAACTTTAAACTTACTGTGCCTACAGAAACACATGCAGATTGTAATAAAAAATACAACTTGATATATTACACTGTAAAACCTCGAGCCGTTTTAACTTTTTTAGTATGCCCCAGTGGCGGTCTGTATACGAAACTAACGAAAGAATACAATATAAATGGAGTTCAACGTTTATCGGTTTATGTTTACAATATTGAAGTGTATTTCCGGTCTGCGCTTATTGGTTGTTATTAATTGACCTGTGACATCCTAATCGAAGGGCGGCATGCAGTCATCATAGGGATCCTTGCAGGCTTTCTTTCACCCAGAGAGCCTGCTTGCAGGCTACTCGGGCTTTCGTTGATTATTCGCTGAACTCACCCAAGTTGTCTAATTGTTAAATGTTTATCTGGCTCCTAAACATTATTAGGAATGGAGAAAGAGAAGAAAAGAAACAAAGAAACGAAAAGAAATAAAGAAACAACGATAAAACAGAACAAGGGACGTTTATTAGGTTTGTACCACAAGTAAAGCTATTTATATAAAAAACGTATATTCAAAATGATTTGTACTTTTTGTTAAACGGTATATGTTTGCATCTTGCAGAGAAAACACCAAAGGCAGATGGGGCACCAAAGGCAGACGAAGAAGCAAAGGCTGAGGAAGAACCAGTGGAAGAACCAAAGGCAGATGAAAAACCAGTGGAAGAACCAAAGGCAGATGAAAAACCAGTGGAAGAACCAAAGGCAGATGAAAAACCAGTGGAAGAACCAAAGGCAGATGAAAAACCAGTGGAAGAACCAAAGGCAGATGAAAAACCAGTGGAAGAACCAAAGGCAGATGAAGGACCCGTGGAAGAACCAAAGGGTAAGGAAGAACCAAATGCTGAGGAAGAACCAGAGGAAGAACGAAAGGCAGATGAAGAACCAGTGGAAGAACCAAAGGCTGAGGAAGAACCAAAGGCTGAGGAAGAATGCTTGGAAGAACCAAAGGCTGAGGAAGAACCAGAGGAAGCAGAGAAGGCAGGCAAAGAACCAAAAGCAGAGGAAGAACCAGAAAAAGCACCAAAGGCTGAGGAAGAACCAGAGGAAGAACCAAAGGCTGAGGAAGAACCAAAGGCAGACAAAGAACCAGAGGCTGATGAAGAACCAGAGGCTGATGAAGAACCAGAGGCTGATGAAGAACCAGAGGCTGATGAAGAACCAGACAAAGGACCAGGGGAAGGACCAAAGGCTGAGGAAGAGCCAAAGACATTGACAAAACAGGGAGTACAACGCTGGTTCGAAAAAGCCGCCGAAACATTAGAGACAGATATCCAGAAGATGTCAAATTTAAAAACGCTTAATGGCAAAGCATTAAAAATGTTAAAAAAGGAAGACTGGATAAGGAGGTCACCCGATTTTGGCGATATTTTGTTCAATATGTGGCAGGAAGATCCAGAAACAGGCGGGAACAAAAAACGTGATGAAGGTACGTGGCATGTGACATAGTGTCAATTGAAGGATATTTTGTTTTAGTATTTTTGCACAAGTGAACATAACAAATCCTACACGTTGATTGGTCAAATTTGACGCATGTATAAAGCCGTTATATTCACCTACATGTGAATATAACAAAATCGAAATTTTCAAAATGGCGGCTAGCCGTTTTGTGGAAGTTACTGATAAAGAAATAAGCGAAATTAAAATAAATTCAGTCCCAAAAACACAAAAGACTTGTGTAAAAATACTAAATTCGTCGAGGTGAATATTCCCCGATAATCACCGAGCCTGAGGCGAATAATTGTTAAATATTAGAAGCTCTGAAACTTTATTATACGTTAAATACTGTATTTTGGTCCCAAAAAAGTTTCTTTTCATTTTTTTGGTGCGAGGTGCTGCACAAAGAAATCCATAATAATGGCACAGGAAAAAATGTTATCGGAAAGAATACCTCAAATAAGAAAGCTTATAGAAAGGTTAACAATATAGGTGCTAAATATACTGAAAAATATTGCGTAAACCATATACGAAGTAGCAAAATTTACTCGTCCAACCCGAACGAAAAGTGGCCTGAGACGAGGCTGTTTAGCTGTTTTGGGAAACGTCTATTTTATATGTCTATCTGATTTTAATTATTAGGAATAGAAGAAAAGAAGAAACGAAACAGAAAAGCGAAAAGAAATAATCCTGATGATTCAAGACCAAACGTACATTCCCAGAAACAAGATACTTTGAAGAGGTATTTCATTTAATAACGCCGCCAATTAATTAACCCTTTCCAGTATGACCTCCATGTACAGGAAGAAACCTATCTATCGTTATTTATTCAATTTATATGATTCGGAAAAAAAATATATGAAAAATAAAATATGAAATACCTCCCGGGTATGAAGCTACTGAGCTGTATATAGACTGGAAAGTGCTCCTATGTTTTGTCCCCAAAAGTAGCCAAAACATTGTGGATTTCAAGTGATCGCGCTCAGATTCGGGTTGTTTTTTTTTTATAGCAGCGACACAAAAATCCGTTTCGTAATCAGCCAGGGTCACCAATAAGGCAATAACAATCAGTGTCACCACTTTCGGTGTGCGTCACATCCGGTGAATATGAAATGAGATATTCACCACGCAAAGCACGCGTTTAAATGTGTGTCCCAACGTGTTAACACGACACAAACAACAAGTAGAGTTAGGCGATATTTTTAAAACTCATCGTGATTATCGTCTAGAAACTTAAAAAAGCTTACACATACGAGACACTGTATCTAACGATAGTTACGGTACATCCTCGCTCACGTTTCTATCTCCGATACGATAATCATGGTTATAATTCATAAATTAAAAACAAAATATAAATATTTTCGAAATATTTATCTATTTATATATCTATATAATTATTTAAAATTAAATGGTGGAGATCAACCTAAACGCTTTTCGTACAACCGACCCCTGCATTAGAAAATTTAGAAGTGTGATATATAATTTAGAAGCGTAGTATATCCTTCATATTTGTTTGGTAATTTGTCTTGGTATTCAATAGGTCTGCATCCATAGAAATAATCGTAATGCAAGTTTTATTATTTTTGCGGTAATTACCACTTTCATGTTTTTTCGTTTTTTTTAATATTCTAAAAAGCTCAAGAAAAGTACGGTTTGGTAAAGATGAAGCACTTGACGAAATCAAGAAATCATTTTTGCTTAAGGAATTTGAGAGTAATGTTACATTTTTAATTCCGCAATTTGGTAGCATATTTATAGTAACTGGTGTATGTTCGAGTACTCCACATATCCAGGAAAATGTCGGAACACTATTTATCAGGGACGACCGTCAGGGAGCCCTGGGCTTTTACAACAAAGTAAAGATTGTCATTGTAGGGTGTGAAAGTAATACACATAAAGTTGACATTCTTTTGAAGGAAATTAACACAAATATGCATGTGGGTGTGAAAGGACGAGTTGAGAAGTTGGACAAAGAGGATGATGTTGTAAACAAGGATTGTTGTAAGATGTTAAAATTAGTTATTGATTCAGATGATCATGCCCTGTTTGCCGAAGAAACTAAACCACCTATGATAAAAAGGGGGTGGCCTGCTGGTTCTGAAATTGCCAACAGCATATATGTTTCTGGTGCTTTAGGCAAAGCTTCAGAAAAAAATAAACGTAGTCTACTAGATAAAATTCTACAATACGTCGTCGCTTTCAAAAATAGCTTTGACGGTGAAATATTTGTTGAGATAACTGGTGGGGAAGTCAGCAATCGAAAAATAAAGGAATGGTGCGAAGAAGTATCTACGGGTATTGGACGTTTGATACCTGAAGCTAATGAATGTGCAGATATTTGTCAAAATATGCAAGAAGCGAGTGAACATGTTCATAGAAATAGATGCTTTGTCTGCGTACTTCTGCTTTGTAATGACAGCAGCAGAACAATTTGTTGGATCCACGTGCCCAAAGGTGAAGCCAAAGTATATTATAGAAAAAGTTCAGACGCTAACGCATTCAGGCGGAGAGGGGCAACAACTATAATAATTAGTTATGAGAATTTGTGCAGTGAACTTGAACATTTGGCCGATAGTCCAATCGACCCAGTTGTTGATGAGGATGAACAGGATGAAAAAAGGTGTAACTCGCAAGAAGAATATACAATCCTGGAAGAATTCGAGAACGAAAACCAACACCGCGAGTTTAAGATGATTTTTGGAGGCAATCCAGTCGAGACAATACGGAAACACTATCTTGCTCGTTATGCATGTGGTTTCCTGAACTTAGAGGGGGGAGATGGGGGAAAGATCTTTTTCGGCGTACAAGAAGACAAGGAATCAAAAATGGGTCATATTGTGGGTATTGTGCTTTCAACGAAAGAGAGAAAAGACCTCCGCGAAGCAACGGTCAAAACTCTTACAAATTTTTATCCGCCAGTAAGCAGGCAGCAGTATCATATCAAATTTCATTCTGTTCTTGTACCTTCTGAATTGATCGTTAAAGATACAGGAGGCAATTCGTATGCCATGATCAAAGTAAAGATGGAGGGAGGACAAAGTGCCGACTATATTGGTCGAAGCGAGGAGCTTGGTACAAAGTGGCCAACGTTTATCCAGAATGAGCTTGGAGCTAAAATTCGTTCCGCTGTTGTTCCAATCAGAGATGAATGTTTCTTTGTAGTGGCAACAAAACAGGCGTCCGTCCATCGAAATTTGACCGAGCTTGTTGAAAAATTTGTAGAAAAGCACTCCAAGAAGTTTGAGTTACAGACAATCAATGAAACTGAATTAAACACTATTTTGAAAAGTATTTATGTAATGGAGTTGAATATAACTGATCCGTCCCTATATCGGTTCCATATGACTAAACCAATAGACACACATGTATTCAGCAAAGACAAAAAACAACTGTGTGTATCTAAGTTAAGTATAGAGAATCTGATGCACAGGTTTAAATCAGATTCCACCAGTGAATTTAAAATCGATGAGTTCTTAAAACATGTCAACAATTTCAGCCCCGAACATTCTCATATTCTGGTTGCTTCGCCGTTTCATCTTCTTGAAAATGAAAGAGATTTGTACGGACTTGTCATCCCTAAATGGACTTTGACGATAGACTTGGATCAGCAACCAGGGCATTTATACCAGATATTTGAAAAACTGAAACACCTTTACCTAACCGAACGCGATCTATCTCTTGAAACACCACAAGATTCTAAACTAGATTGCTGGCTTGCTGCTCGGGGAAACAGTGAAGACGAAAACTCTCTGCCAGAAGCAAGTCATGCGGAGTGGAACGAAAGGCACAGATCACATGTAAAAGAACTTCTAAAGAAAGATCTAAAAGCCACCGAGAAAGCTAATCGTGTCAACGTTGTAGTTTTGTGGGACGAAGGGCACCAAACGTTGGTGGAAGTGTTACGAACAATTTTGAAAGACGTGATTAGTTTGAGCGAAAATGATAGCACAGTAATAACGTTTGTCTGTGCAACACCTAAAGCTAGTTCAGATATTAGGAGCAGAGTACTAGTGCCATTTCAAGAGGGTGATTGGAATACCATATCCAAAGACCGAGTGCATGTTGCACCTCCATATGTACTGACACGATTTCTTTCGCTCAAACTACCATCACCTTACTGCCGACCAGAAGATGATTATCAGGTACCCCATAAGATTCTTTTTCCGTACTGGGGCTCTCAAATTATTCCACAGATTATACCTGAACAGCTGAGACAAAAACTTTCAAATTTTATAAAGGTAATCTACATGACGAAAGTAAGCGAATCTGATGAACAATCGCTAAACGAAGAACGTAGAAATTTCTTTTCAGGTTCTGCAATAACAAATGATGGCTTGTATGGTAACATTGCCATACGGAGAACAATAATGGTTGAACTTGAAAACAATTTCAAGACACTTGCCGGCGACAAAAAGTCACATGTCTCGTCCATTATTGTAAAAGCGGATCGCGGAGCAGGATCGACAACTATGTGTTTACAATTTCTTTACGAGCAGCACAGATTTTATCCATGTGCACAATTAATTGAAATAAAAAATGGCCTTGTAAGCCACATCGAAGAAATGAATAGGAAAACCAGATTACCACTTATACTTTTTGTTGATAGGAATATTGCACTTTTGCAAAATTTCTTTAATTTCAAGAGGGATGTCGAGCGTCGAAGTGTAAAGATCATATTTATTTTGGTTCACCTTGCCGATGTCGTTATTGATGAAACCACGCGTAGATCCTTCTATGGAAAAAAATGGTATAAAGTAGAGCTTAGACGGGGGTTGGATGAGAATGAAATAAAACAGCTGGTAGACGGCGTTACAAAACTAGCAAAAGGAAAAAAGAACAAATTGTTAAAATTTAAAGAGAAGGCCAGAAGAGATGAAAAGAAGCCACGAACATTTGCTCATTTCAGCTTACTTGCGTTCGGCAGTGAATTCAAAGGTTTGGAACAGTATGTGAAATTCAGGCTGACCCGGGCAGATGAACGTCAAAAAAATATACTCGCCTTTTTATCACTCACTCACGTTTTTACAAACTATTCTCTTCCAGCAAATGCTCTTGCTCGTTTCCTTAACAAGAATAAAGTAATATTAGAGGAAGAACTGGAAAACAAGTATCTTCAAGAACTGTTAAGTCCTCGTGCAGATGGCAGTGATTCCCGTCGTATATCATCTCACGAAGTAGCACAGGAAATTTTAAAACAGTTAAGCAATGCAAGTAGTGGAGACGATCAATTCTGGACGTATATTAAAGATGTATCTCTTATGATGGCTAAGCATGTGCTGTCTCAGGATATCACCACGAGGAAAATTGATCGATTGACAAGAAAGCTGTTTGTGACTAGGGAGCACGAAAGTGAAAATTTTTCTCGGCTCATTCGAACTATGAGAGACACAAGTCCTGATACTGCGCGGGATACATTGAAAGAGCTGGTGGAAGTCTTTAATGAAAAAGAGAAACATTCTTCTATGCGAGCTCATTTACGAGCCCATTTAGCTAAGTACCATATGATAGAGTACAACAATTTCGTGAAAGCGAAGATGCTAATCGAGGCTGCTATTCACGAGCAAGAACAAGACTCCTTTCTACATCATATCCATGGCGATATAATTCGCTTATATGTACTGGATCTTGTAGATAAAATGAGAAAGAAAGAGGATATGGAAATAATTTTATCCTATGCAGAGCGAAGCAGTAAATGTTTCGAATTTGTTCGGTCCGAAAGGCCACACATGAGCCATGGATACATATTTGATGCAATGGTGCGAATTACTGTTATACAAGCATGCATTAAATTGATGGGAGGTGAAACTTTTAGCTTTGTCGACTATCTAATTGAAAGAATCAATGAAATTAAAGAGAGCGATGATGATGATATTTCCCGAAATTCACGTTACCTCTTGTCTTTGATTTCTGACACGCATGAGTATCTTGATGAAAGATGCATCGACTTTGAGCAGAAAGAAGAATGGAAGAAAATTTTTCTCGACTGCATTGGCGACCTCACACGTTTGTGTGATAAACTTGAACAAGAAAAAAACTGCAGTTTTTTCATTGGTTCAGCTTGGCTGCCTGACATACTAGTTCAAACACGAATTTTGCATCACGCCCTGGAAATTGAAAAGAAAGTTTTAAGTCCTCAAGAGATTAAAACAATGGAAAAATATGATCCAGATTCAAAATTTGGAAATTGTTTCATGAAATTATGGATTCGATATTCGCGTCAGCTATTGTCAGTGCCAAATTTGAAGGAAGTAGAGAAGAGAGTGAACGAATGGAGAAATCAAGAAGCATCGCCTCAAGCAGAATTTTATTAGTGAGTATATAAATATGTTATTAATCTATTGCACATTCAGGGTTTCCCATATTTCAGCCTTTCCAAAGGCTAAAATGCAATGTCAAAATGCTGAAATTCAGTTTCTCGAAAACTACACTGGCGATTTTCAAATAACTTTCAAAAAAGATTAAAAACTTCATCACAATGTATTTTCTGCAATAAAAAAGGTAGGTCACCGTGGTTATTTGTCCGCTACAACGGCTTTTTTAGTTTGTATAGACCATATAGATGGCGACGTCATGTTGTCATGGTAACATGAAGAGTAGCGATTGTGGGTTAAAATTACTTTTTTTATATAAGAGGAAACAATGACTTGTGCAAAAAATTATTTTTTTTAGATTCAAATTAATTAAATAGGTTTTAGTTAAAACACTGACGTATATTGGAAACTGAAAGGAGCCTCCTTATAGTAATTTAAATTAAAAAACTTTTCTTCAGTTATTTTTTTTCGCAACATTTTAAAAATCCATAATGTCCGCGGGCATTAGGGGGAAATCCAGGCATGTTATAGCAGCCAATCAAATTGCGAAATTCACTAATACGCAATTTATTGCGCGCATTAAGGGCTATACATAATGGATTTCGAGTGTAAGTTGCAGTTTTGTCGGAAATTCATTTGACTTGCGCCAACACCAGGAACAGTGAATTTCCACCACTGAATTTTGTATTGAATTTATTGCAGTTTTGTCGTGCATGTTTTAATCGCGTTGGAAACCCGGTCCAATCGCGAGAAGATGGATAAAGCAGAGAAGATAGATAGAGCAGAGAAGATGGATAAAGCAGAGAGGTTAACAAAATATCAACAATCCAAAAGGTGTAAGAAGAAAGACGATTTTGTTCTTCCTCTTGAGTGGCTACATCCGAAACAAGGACGTCATATTGAGTTAATTGATTGTCTGCTCCACCATGACGATCTCATCAAAGGGAAAGACACAAATATATCTTCACAGTCTGACAAAACAAAACTTATTGAACGTTGCCTTTTTGAAGAAAGTATTACCCAATGGGAAGGAACTGTTAAAGACATTCGTAGTGCTTGGAAAGGTACTATTACATTTAAAGAACGCCTTCCGGTTCGGTTTGTACCGTTAAACGCACAGCCGTCGATGCCATCATTGGGTGATACGGTAAAGTTCTGCTTGTCGTTTGACCGTTTTGGTCTTAGTGCCTGGCAAGTGATGCACGAAGCAGAGATACAATATAGTGACCTTTTTGACACTGCTGGTAGATATAGAGACGATGATTCTTCGTCTGAACATAGCGAGCAAGAAGATGTGCATAAAGAAGACTTTTTTGTTGCTCCATCACTTTGTTCTATTCGCATCCCAGAGCCTGACGAAAAGCAAACCAGAAATGAGAACAAAGGTCAACAACCGCAAGATGAAGCAGTCTCAAAAAAACTCACCAAATGGGTTGAACAAAGGAAGCAAGGTGTAGTTTCCTTTGCCAATCCTGAAATGGGTGCTGGGTTCAGGGAAAACGCAGACGTGGAGGATGAACCTTTCTTTCGCCATGCACAGCTAAAGGAACCAGTAAAGAACCTCGAAGGAAATATTGTCAAGGACATGTTGTTGGATTTGAAGATTGAAAAGTTAACACAACCAACTCGTGCTGCAGATGTTCGTGTGCTGAAGGTAAGCAAATGTAAAATATTATTTTTCCGATTGAGATGGGTATGGGAGCCTTTTTCCCCCTTCGTATTGCTGCATTGCATCAATGGCGTGGCAGCTTGTTGTGCGATAATCCCCGAGCCATTTGTGTTTGGTCTCCCAACTGGAACCATCTGGAACTATAATTGGATAAGGACAAAAAAAATTTTCAAGTGGAAAACCGGCTTAAGCGGCGTTTTGGGCGAGGTTTTGGGCACAAGCTCCAAAATTTTTCATGCCTGATACACAGCTTTGCTCAAGGCTGCATGTGTATCAGGCATGACAATGCAAACAATAATCCTGTTGTTTGTTTACGAAAATTGCAATCAAATTGGCTACACTCAATCCATTTTACATTGTTTTCAAATAAAAATAGAGAGCATTGTTTTTTTTTTAAATGGCCATTAACTTGGCTTGAACAAGAGAGGGTTTCCCTTCAAAATAGGGAAAATGATTGTGCAAAGGTTCATAAGACAATAAAATTGAAAGAAATTAATGTTTGTGTAGACAACAGTTCATTGATAGTCAACAAATGGTTAAAATTTCCGCCCTGCATTAAAATGTCTGTCAATTTGTGCCTGATTCCTCCATTCGAAACACTGATATGAAACACAAAATACGATTTTATTCTGATGTAATTACCAGTCTGTCTGCATATCTACTTTTCTGCCTCGGCAGACTCTGAGTTTATAATAATGTTGTTAATTCTGCTAAAATGAATGGTGAAATTATTTCTAATTGTATAGGAATTGGAAGAGATTTTAAAAACAAAATATCGAGAAAGATTGCTGCATTTGGAGCCAATATTCATGGACAGCATTCCTGATGCAATAAAAAGTTTGTATACAGTTTTTGATTTCCATATAAACATGATGTTGGATTGTAGTTTTATCATATGGAGAATTACCTGAAATTCTAATCAGTGAAATGATTGATAAATTGAACACAGTGATGATAGTGAGTTCACTCCAGTCGAAAGTAACTTAAACAACTTCGTGCTTTTGTATTTCCCGCAGTTTAACTGATGCACATTTGTTTTATGTCTATGCGATAAGACTGACATTGTGATTACATATGTCATACGCAATGAAACCAATGAAATCTAAGACCTTTTTAAGATGTGACCATGCACTGAGTCACATAGCATGACTTTGCATGCTGGAAAGTAGTGATTGAATTTCCCCATTTGTAAAACTCGCACATAGATAGCCCATCGATTGCGGGGCAATTAAATCGCTAGTTTTTCTCAAGTCATTGCTTATAATTATAATTTGTGTCATTTGTTGCGTTTTATCTAATTGTTAAGAAAATTAATCTAATTGTCTTCTCTTACAGTATCTTTGAAAACTTATCCAGGGCCCAAGATTAGGAGTTCAATTTCTGAAACGAAAAGCAATGAATCTTCATCTATAGTGACAAGGTAATTCCACTTTTGCGATTTACAAACTCATGGCCTTTAATATATGGGTAAAATGTACACTAAAATTGTTAATATTTTTCACGCAAAAATGGGTAAAACTTATCTTTTAATTAAATTTTTTTGCTGGTTTTAAAAGTTATGCTGTTTTTAAAAACCACATTAAAAATAGCTTGCGCACAAAAATGGAAGATTTAAAACGCTATTTGAAAACATAGGATGCAAATCAGTCGTGCGTTAAAAGATTATGCGTGAAGAGAAAACTGCAAAAAAGTCCATGTTTAAGAGGTCAGGTGTTGGTGGACTTGATGTATATCAGCTTCGAGAATCATTATTATTAAAACAAACAAACGCGCTAATGTTCCTTACATGCAAAGCGAAGCAATACGATGCAGATTTCAAACTTTACCACGGACGTCCCCTGACAAAATGAGCCCGTGCAAAATTCAGAGAAAGATCATCAATAACTTGGGGCCGATACATGTACGCTTGCCGGACCTATTTCATCTTTATGTACCAGTCACACTAGGTTTTGTCTATGTGGTTTTATCCCTTTTCCCGCGTTTTGTACCTGTTTCCGGCATAAATGATTGAGTGCATGAAGAAAAGCTGAGTGGGACCTAGTCTTCCTCGTAGCTGTTCTTTGTGTCATAAGTGGGATCATTTTAGAAATATAAATTGCAGGCCATAATTTATTTGATCTGCCAACAAGAAAATAGTTTGTCAGGCTATATTTTGTTTCTATTTTGAGCCTCGACTTGAAAATATCCCTTCATTAATCGGAGTTTATAGGTTTGCACGAGGGTTTACATTTGAAATTGAATATCTTCTAATTTTGATTTTGGACTGCAATATGTGTGCAGGACAATTCATGAAAATGTTTCCTCGTTTAGAAACAGTTGGTATGGTTGCTATAAAAGTCAAATCTTTGTACGAAAGAGCAATTCACCTCTGCAGGCAATCAATGTCGATCTCTTTTCGGTGGGCAATAATTTTTATGATGTGTTGGCACAAGAATTTGAGAAAGACGTGGCAGATTACAATCTTATGTTTGGAGCAAAAGAGGTATAATGCTATAGAATGTAATTGGCAAAATACTTATAAATTTCTATTGATGTTGTGCCCACACCATATTGTTTTTTAGTCTCACGTTGCTAATAATAATGCTAACGTGTGGCTAACCACCTGGTACGATGGCAATGCAATATTCTTTTCAACCTTGCGTTTTTATATTTCACTGGGTAAACCACGAAAACAGGAACTGCCTTTGTAAATGCCTTCAAATTTCAAGTATCTCTCTATCGGCCTCCGTAATGTTCTACGTCATGTAATTCGAACTTAAGCAGATTGGAGAAAAAAGGAGCGGCAATTAGCGGCAAGTCTATTTATTTGTTCTTACCAGGTTGTGACGCCATGTGTGTATCTATTATACTGAATAAGTATAAGGCGAATTGTTATCTATTTTTTTAACAAGTGTGCATTGCATTATTACCAAGGTTGACAAAGAAAAAACTTTGTTTGAACAAGAAATATACCATGGATCAACTGTTGATTTAATCTTACCATTGCATGGAGGTAAGTAATAAAGATAAGGAGTTTTTAGATTAGGTAATTTGTCTGAAAACAGAGACACAGAAGAGAGACATATACAGAAGGTCGACTTCTTGGTTTTGCCTATGATTTTGGCGTAACCGTTGCAATGCTGTCGCCATGGCCTAGCCAGTGCGGTTATGAGAGGCATTCATCCCCCTGAAAATATTCAAAATGGCGGACGTTCATTGGGGTGAATGCCTCTCATAACCGCACTGACTAGGAACATAGCGACAGCATTTTGATGGCGAATCATGGCGTGGCAGCGGTTACGCTTTTTTAACTGAGTCGACCTTCTGTATGTCTCTATTCTGTGACTGAGAGCTCCTAATAGTTCCTAATAGTAATACAGTCTGCATGTAGTAATAATATGTGTGCATGACGTCATGTAACAAACCTGGACAATTTTAGGCAATATGAGGTTGCGTAAAATTTCGATTTATAAACCTTTTATTATAGTTATATATTATTTTTATGTCAAGTAAGCGGTAATTGCCTTAGTGACCGAGTAAACGAAATCGCAAGTAGATTTCCGAAACGAAGAGATTTTAAAGTTTACAGGTCAGCATGCGCAAGTATTGCTAAGGTCTTATAGGAATAGAAATATGTCGTTGCCAAGTCTAAGCACAAGTTAATTAATAGTAGTGAAAATCAAACATTGGAAGAGATGTAACAATCTAAGCATTAGACTATCCACTGAAGCTATCATGAGAAACATTTATTCTAATATGTCTATCTGTTTTTTAATTGTTATTAGGAATGGAGACAAAGAAGAGAAGAAATAGAAAACCGAAAAGAAATAAAGAAACAACGACGAAACAGTACAAGGAACATTCATTAGGTTTGTACCGCTATTTATATGAAAACGTTGTACTAGTTACTCTTTGTTATATGGTATGTATGTATATATTTGCATCTTGCAGAGAAAGGACCAAAGGCAGAGGGAAAACCAAAGGAATTGACAAAACAGCAAGTACAAAACTGGTTCGGAAAAGCCGCGGAAACATTAGAGATAGATATCCAGGAGGTGTCAAATTTTAAGTCTCTTAATGGCAAGGCATTAAGAATGTTAAAAAAAGAAGACTGGATAAGGAGGTCACCCAATTTTGGCGATATTTTGTTCAATATGTGGGGGGAAGATCAACACACATTCACAGAAACAGACGGGAACAAAGAATGTGATGAAGGTACATGGCATGCAACCTAGTGTCGATTGAAAGATGTCCTGCTATAAACTGCCGGTAGTAAAAAGCTCTGAAACTTTTATTATACGTTAAATAATTTAGTAGTCCCAAAATGTTTCTTTTCATTTTTTATGCGAGGTGCTGCACAAGGAAATCGATAATAATGGCACTGGAACCTTTCGTTATGGATTCTAATTCGTGGATGCAAAGCAATTAAATATAAAACGAAAAAATGAATACTATTATTGACTTGATCTAAATAATATTAAGAAATTATGATGGCACAACTTATGATAGCCTCTTAATGCAGTTATATTCATGTAGACAGCGGACTTTAAAATTTAGTTATAAACAAATGTGAATTAGAGTCTTGGGCAAAATACCTTTTATCACTGCCACTCGAAACCGAAGCGAATAAAGATGTTGAACAATACAAAGTTCAAAACGGCTCACGGATCCAAGTTCCCTAAAATTCCTTGGGAAGAAATCCCAGTAGTCATTATAATAAAGTATTTTCTTGTTTAAACCTAGAAAAAAGAGCTTCATTAACGCAAGAAAGCGAAAGAGAAGAAGTTCACGACAGCTTGAATGATCCTGATGATTCAAGACCAAACGTAGATTTTCTGAAACAAGATACTTTGAAGAGGTATTTTATATCATTCTAGTTTTAATATTATTCTAGTTTTAATATAGTCACCAATTGATTAACCCTTTCCAGTATAACTTGCATTTACCAGAAGAAACTTATTTATCATTATTTATTCAGTTCATTAAATTCCGACTGGTCAATAGATGTGTTACAGATTGAAACTAGACTTGCGCCATAAATGTAAACTGGAGAGTTCCCCTATCGTTTGTTACCAGGTGATCTCGTGTTCGTATTTTAGCCAATCAGCGCTCAGAAAGGGTTGTCCGAATAGAAATCCATTTTGATGTATTCAGTCAATTATATCTTTCGTTATTCTTTATGAAACTAGTTGAAATTTTGTAATTATGTTTGGTTATGAGAACTAGCTCTGACAAAAATATGGAATCGAAATAAAGTATATTACAGGAGATATTCAGTTGTTTTAATCATACAATGGATTTCTATTTGACAACTAGTGCCAGTACTTTTCCGCGTATCAAGATCACCTGGTAGTGATAGTGGTGTCATTGATATTTATCTTGAACTGTTTGTGCATGTGTAGTTCGTGCCAATAATAACAAAACTTCGGTTGGTAAAGACGCAACTTCCTGAAAAATACAAGAACTTCGACGTTTGGAGTGAAAGCCCTTCATCGGAAAGTTAGTTAGTTTAAATAATCAGACTGGATCCTGAGAAACAGATCATAGTTGGTAAAATGGTCCCATCACAATAATATTTAAAAGGGTCCAATGCATGTCTCAGGCTAGGCCGTGAGTATAACAAATAAATTAAATATAAAAGATATTTTTTTTAAAGAATTAAATACCATATTTGCTCACACTGCTACAAAGTTCGCAGTTCGATTGACTACTACGTCACGAAGTTCGCAAGTTCAGAAATAATGAACAAACTTTGCTAAGCTTTCGTCAAAATTTTTATCTTTATGAAATAATCTGTAAAATTAAACAGTGGAGAGCGACTTAAACGCCTTCCGTTGTGTTAGAAAACATAGAAACATGGTATATCTTACGTATATTTATTTGGTTTGTTTTTGTATTCAGTAGGTCGGCATACATATTTTGCAACGTAGGCCTATAATTTTGACTGTAAAGATTTTTATGTTTCTCTATTTTCAATACATTCTTATACAGCTCAAGAAAAGTACTGTTTGGTAAAGTTGAAACTCTTGGCGAGATCAGAAAATCACTTTCGCTTGAAGATTTTGACAATGATGATAAATCTTTAATTCCGCAATTCGGTAGCATAATTACAGTAACTGGTGTATGTTCGAGTACTCCACATATCCAGGAAAATGTCGCAACACTATTTATCAGGGACGACCCTCAGGGAGCTGCGAGCTTTTACAACAAAATAAAGATTGTCATTGCAACGTGTGAAAGTAATAAACATGAAATTGACGTTCTTTCGAAGGAAATTAACACAAATATGCATGTGGGTGTGAAAGGAAGAGTTGAGAAGTTGGACAAAGAGGATGACATTGTAAACAAAGATGGTTGTAAGATGTTAAAATTCAAATTGGTTATCGATTCTGATGATCATGCCCTGTTTTCACAATGCTGGTGGCCTCTGCAAGCTGGTTCTAAAAATCCCAACGTAGGTGATTTTGTTGTCGACGACGAATCGGAAAAGGTATATTGTGACGCCGATGTTTCAGACGAACAAATACTGCAATACGTTGTGGCTTTCAAAAATAGTTTTGATGGCGAAATATTTGTTGGCGTTGAGAAAAATGGTGAGATAACGGGTATGGAAGGTAGCAATGGAGGAATAAAGAAATGGTGCGAAAGAATGTCTGTGGCTATTGGAAAACTATTACCTGAATCTAACGAAGGTGCAGATATTTGTCGGAATATACAAGAAGCGAATAAACTCGCTCATAGAAAAAGATGCTTTGTCTGCGTACTCCCGCTATACAATGACAGCAGCAGAACAATTGGTTGGATCCATGTGCCCAAAGGTGAAGACAAAGTATATTTTAGAAAACCTTCAGACGTTCACGCGTATAAACGCATTGGGGCAGAAAATAAACGAATAACTAATTATAAACAACTGTTCTATGATCTTGATTCTTTGGCCAGTAGGCAAATCGAACCAGTTTTTGAGGAAGATTGTGATGAGAAAAACGATGAGCAGGATGAAGAAAAATCAAAAGAATATAGAGTTTTGAAAGACGTCAAGCACGAAAATCAGCACCACGAGTTAAAGATGATTTGGGGGGACAATCCAGTGGAAACAATACTGGAAAAACATCTTGCTCCTTATGCATGTGGTTTCCTTAACTCAGATGGGGGAAAGATCTTGTTTGGCATACAAGAAGACGAGCAATCGCAAATGGGTCATATTGTGGGTACTGTGCTTTCAACGGAAGAGAGAAAAGTCCTCGTCAAAAGAACGGTCAAAACGCTTAGAAATTTTTACCCGCCAGTCAGCAGGAGTCAATTTAACATCAAATTTCATCCTGTTTGCGTACCTTCCCATTTGATTGTTAAGGATAGAGGAGGCAATTCGTATGCCATGATTACTGGTCGAAGCGAGGAGATTGGAACAAAGTGGCAAAAGTTTATCCAGGATAAGCTCCTAGATGGAAGCCATTCCGCTGTTATTCCAATCAGATCCAAACGTTTTTGTGTAGTTGCCACAAAACACACGTCCACCCATGGAAATTTGACCGAACTTGTTGAAGAATTTGTAGAAAAGAACCCCAAGTTTGAGTTACAGACAATCAATCAAACGGATTTAAATGCTATTTTAAAAACTATTTGTGTAATTGAGTTGACTGTAACCTGGTCTCCATATCCGATCCATATGACGAAAACAATAGACACATATGTATTCAGCAAAGACATAGAAAAGGGACTATGTACATCTAAGTTGAGTCTAGAAGACCTGATGTGCCGGTTTAAATTGGATTCCACCAGTGAATTTAGTGTTGATAAGTTTTTAGAACATGTGAAAAACTTCGATAACGCAGGAAATTCATATATCCTGGTTGCTTCACCGTTTTATTTCCCTGAAAATGAAAGAGATTTGTACGGGCTTGTCGTCCCTAAATGGACTTTGACTATAGACTTGGATCAGGACCCGAAGCAAACAGGTCATTTATATCAGATTTTCCAAGAACTGAATGACCGTTGCCAAACTGAGCGAGATCGATTTCTTAAAACACCTCAAGATTCTAAACTAGATTTGAATTCCGACCACGCAGTCTGCTGGCTAGCTGCTCGGGGATATCGTGAGGACGAAAACTCTCTGTCGGAAGAAAATCATGGGAAATGGATCAAATCACACGGATCACGTGTAAGAGAACTTTTGAATGAGGATATAAAAACCAGCGTGAAACCTAATTGTCTCAATGTTGTAGTTTTGTGGGACGAAGGGAACCAAGCGTTAGTACAATCGTTACGAACAATTTTGGAAGACTTGATTTGTGTGAACGGAACTGATAGCACAGTAATAACGTTTGTCTGCGCAACACCTAAAGCTAGTTCAGATATTAGGAGCACAATAATAGTGCCATTTCAAGAGGGTAATTGGGACACCATATCCGAAGACCGGGTGTATGTTGCACCTCCATATGTTCTGGCACGATTTCTCTCGCTCAAACTACCATCACCTTACCGACCAGAAGATGATTATCAGGTACCCCATAAGAAATTTTTTCCGTACGGGGGCTCTCAAATTATTCCACAGATTTTACCTCAACGACTGAGACAAAATCTTTCGGGTTATATAAAAGTAATGTACATGAAGAAAAGAAGGAAACTTGATGAACAAAAGCTAAACGAGGAACGTAGGAATTTCTTTTCAGGTTCTGCAATAACAAATGATGGCTTGCATGGTAACATTGCCATACGGAGAACAAAAATGGTTGAACTTGAAAAAAATTTCAAGACACTTGCCTGCGACAAAAAGTCACATGTCTCGCTCATTTTTGTAAGAGTTGATCGCGGGGCAGGATCGACAACTATGTGTTTACAATTTCTTTATGAGCAGCACAGATTTTATCCATGTGCACAGTTAATTGAAATAAAAGATGGCCTTGTAAGCCACATCGAAGAAATTAATAAAAAAACTAGATTACCACTTATACTTTTTGTTGATGAGAATATCGCACATTTGCAAGAATTCTTGGAGTTCAAGAAAGAAGTTGAGCGTCGAAATGTAAACGTCATATTTATTTTGATCGAGCCTTCTGTGGTTAGCGAATCTTTGCCCACACGTAAAGCGCGAACTAAAAGTGCTAGAGATAGTTCCTTGTATGGACCGAGTCCGTATAAAGTAGTTCAGCTCCAACGGACCTTGGATAATGATGAAATGGAACAACTGGTAAAAGTGCTTACTGTGCTAGCAAATAGAAAGAAAAACGAATTGTTGAAATGCGAAGACAAGGCCAGAAGAGATGAAAAGAAGCCGCGAACATTTGCTCATTTCAGCTTACTTGCTTTCGGCAGTGAATTCAAAGGTTTGAAACAATATGTGACATTTAGGCTGACCCGGGCAGATGAACGTGAACAAAGTATACTCGCATTTTTATCACTCACTCACGTTTATACAAACTATTCCCTTCCTGCAATTGCTCTTGTTCGTTTCCTTAACAAGAGTAATGTAATATTAGAAGAAGAACTGGAAGACAAATATCTTCAAGAACTATTGAGTCCACGCACAGATGACAGTGATTCTCGTCGAATATCATTTTATGAGGTAGCAAAGGAAATTTTAGAACAGTTAAGTGCAACCTCAAGCGGTGCGAAGAGTGGGGGCGATCCTTACTGGGACTATATTAAATATGTTTCTGTCATAATGGCTAAACATGTGCTGAGTAAGTATATCACGACGAGGAAAATTGATCGATTAACAAGAAAACTGTTTGTGACTAGTGAATACGAAAGTGAAAAATTTTCACAGCTTATTCGAACTATGAGAGACACAAGTCCTGGTACTGCACGAGATACATTGAAAGAGCTGGTGAAAGTCTTTGACGAGAAAGAGAGACATTCTTCGATTCGAGCTCATTTACGAGCCCACTTAGCTAAGTATCATATGATAGAGTACAATGATTTCGTGGAAGCGAAGACGCTAATCGAGGCTGCTATTGACGAGCAGGAACATGACTCCTTTCTACATCATATCCATGGCGATATTATTCGCCTATATGTACTGGATCTTGTGGGTAAATTGAAAAAGAAAGAGGATATGGAAAACATTTTATCATATGCAGAGCAAAGCAGTAAATGTTTCGAATTTGTTCGGTCTAAAAGACCACACATGAGCCATGGATACATATCTGATGCAATGGTGCGAATTAATGTTATGCAAGCATGCATTAAACTGATGGGAGGTAAAAATGTCAGCTTCGTGGATTATCTAATTGAAAGAATCAATGAAATTAAGGAAAGTGATGATGAGGATATTTCACCAAATTCACGATACCTCTTGTCTCTGATTCCTGACACGCATGAGTACCTTGATGAAAGATGCATAGACTTTGAGCAGAAAGAAAGATGGAAGGAAATATTTCTAAGCTGCATTGGCGACTTAACAAGTCTTACGCGGTTGTGTGATAAAATTAAACAGGAAAAAGATTGTAGTTCGTTCATTGGTTGTTCAACTTGGCTGCATGAAATACTTCTGCAAACCCAAATTTTGTACAATGCATTGGAAATTGAAAACAGGGTTCTAAGTCCTGAAAAGATTGAATCAAGATTAAAGAAAATGGAGGAATATGGTTCACATTCAAAATTTGGAGATCGTTTTATGAAATTCTGGATTCGATATTCGTGTCAGCGATTGTCTGTGCCAAATTTGCAGGAAGTAAAGAGGAGAGTGAACGAATGGTCCAATAAGATGAAGAAGAGACGGGTAGCATCGCCTCAAGCAGAATTTTATAAGTAAGTATATTTTTAATAATACCTCAACTTTAAATTGTCCAATCAAAGAGCAGCATTTGTGCCACATCACATGACCTTGTGATTTTGTCTTCTTCTTAATCTCCTTTGCAGCCACTCTTTGTGTCGGGGTTTCTTTCCACGAGCAGCTGCTCACTCGAGCACAACATTCCATTCTCTTTGTCTTACGTTAGCCGATCAGATTTAGCGACATAAATATCTAAATAAATTTAGCGACATAAATATCTTAACAACTCCAAGGTCATGTTTCCGAAATTTAGAAGCATTACTATGATTGGTTGTTTTCAGGAAAGGAATGTTTTACTCGAGTGAGCAGCCGCTCGTGGGGAGAAACTCGACACAAAGAGCGGCTACGAGGGTGACTACCCAATTCTATGCAATTCTTACGCAATGCATCATGAGATTTTATAATATCCAGCGGCAGATATAGCCATAATGTTTTTCATATTCATAAAAATATGAAATATTGTATTTTGTCCATTGTCCGAGAAAAATTGATAAATGTCCGACCAATTTTTATCTTGGCCGGACATTTGACATTCCCAGCAAAATAATTATTTGCAGGCCTGTTCTCCAGTGCTTGTTCGTTTTCGTTTAGAAACACTTTATATAAACACTTAACGTTTTTTGAAACACTTATAAAAGTTTATTTTGTTTTTAAATGTATTTTCCTGCGACATTAAAAATTCCATAATTTCACGGGCATTACGGGGAAATTGTGCCTCAAAACAAACGCTTTCTATATAAAAATAGAATTATTCCAAAACGTAAAACAGTTAATGCCCTAATACGCAATCTATTGCCCCATATTTCGAAATAACTGCAAGGCTACAAACAGCAAGGCTTGCCCCAACACCAGAAACAGTGAATTTCCACCACTGAATTTTGTATTGAATTCATTATAGTTTTGTCGTGCATGTTTTAATCGCGTTGAAAGACCCGTCCGATCGTGAAAAGATGGATAAAGCAGAGAGGTTAACAAAACGTCAACAATCTAAAAGGTACAAGAACAAAGAAGATTTTGTTTTTCCTCTTGAGTGGCTACATCCAAAACAAGGGCGTCATATTGAGTCAATTGATTGTCTACTCCACCATGATGACCTTATCAAAGGCACAAATATCTCTTCTATGTCTAACAAAAGAATACCCATTGAAGGTTCCCTCTTTGAAAAGAATATCACTCAATGGGAAGGGACTATTACAGCTGTTAGCAGTGATTGGCAAGGTACTATTACATTTAAAGGGCGCCTGCCGGTTCGGTTTTCCCCTTTAAGCGCACAACCGTCGATGCCATCATTGGGCGATACGGTAAAGTTCTGCTTGTCGTTTGACGACTTTGGTCTTAGTGCTTGGCGAGTGGTACGCGAAGCAAGGACACAACCTAGTGCACTTTTTGACATTGTTAGCAGAGACGATGATTCTTCGTCTGAGTATAGCGAGCAAGAAGATGTGGAAGAAGAAGACTTTCTTGTTGCTCCATCACTTTGTTCTATTTACATCCAAGAGCCTGACAAAAAACACGGCTTGGATGAGCAGAAAGATCAGCAGCCGCAAGGTGGGGCAGTCTTAAAAAAACGCAGAAAAACTCACTGGGATGAGTACAATGGACAACGGATGCAAGGTGTACTTTCCTTTACCAATCCCGATATGGGTTTTGGGTTCATAGAAAACGCAGACGTTGAGGATAAACTTTTCTTTCACGCTTCGCAACTAAGGGAGCCAGTTACAAACCTCGAAGGAAATATTTACAAGGACATGTTGTTGGATTTCAAGGTTGAAAAGTTAACTGAACGAACTCGTGCTGCAGATATTCGTGTGTTGGAGGTACGAAAATATAAAACCTTTTGCCCTAAAAATATCGGACCTGGGCTGGGCGTAAGCCAACACAATACAATTCCTACTAATGAATTTACCTGTTCAAACGTAACAGGTAAATTCTGAGAAGAATATAAATATGAATAAAATATTTTTTGTGTTGGTGTAATGTACTCAGGTGAATATGATGCTTGGGATGTTACTCTGAGTAACGTCGCAAAGGTCGTAGTTTCGATTCCCATCGTGAACAGGCATATTTTTCAAGCTTGTCCGGTGTGGATATACACTCAGAGTAGCATCACAAGCATGAATAAAATACTTCTAAACCGAATAAAGCTAAACAAAACTAAATAAAAGGAAATAAAACTATACTACATTTAAAATGAGAAAACTAATAATTGCCACCGGTTATTTTACTACAATCGTTTGCTTGTTTCTGGTATTACTCAATTTATATTTGCATATATAAATTAATTAAACTATAGAATTCAATATATATATGCTATTTTTTGCCATTCCAGGACAAAAATCTTCGTGATGGAATGCTGGAGAAACTTCGAATTCGAAAGTACGTATTTTGCTTGTCAACAAGATTCGTTGGCACTGCTTGTTACAAACAGCCTGTATTCGTTTTGTACAACACAACTTGTTGACAAGTTCTTACATTATTAATTAAAAATGACACTCCTATCTAGGAAAAAGCAGCTTTCGTGTTCAACAAACATGCGTGCAAATGAAGTTGATACAAGACGCCAACAAGGCTCCGTCGTCAGGTTTGATAAGGGATTTGGTTTCATCAAGCCAGACAACGACAAATCTGGTAACGATATCTTCTTTAGTCGCAGACATGTTATCACAAGAGGACAGCTCCCTAAAGTTCGTGACCGTGTAGACTTCTGTGTGAGAAAAGGCTTCGACGGTCGTCCCGAAGCAATAGACATACTAGTACAGGTGAATGTTTATATAAAATTATCCTTTTTATGTCCTACTTAATTAAAGACCATATTGCACGTGGGTAAATATCAAGATTTTGGGCCGTATTTTACTCCGCCTTCCTTCTCGTGGAACATACCACAAATGCATGCAAGAAAGCCAGAAAGACATTAAAATGAAAAATATCAGAAAATTGATGTTCTGTAACATCACATCCCTCTTGCAGCACAATAATATCGTGTGACATAGCCCTTAAGACATTGGCGTTGTGACGGGGGTCGCTTGGAGGGCTATAGCCTCTAAAAATAAAAATGGGTGTTACACCCCGACCGCCACAAAAAAAAACCCCAAAAAACCGGTTAAGATTCCAAATTTTGAAGTTTATATATAAAGATTGGGAAATTTAGGGAAAATTCAGGGACATGTATTACTGTATGGTTGGTCCATGTTTAGCGTGCAGCCGTAAAGTAACCCAATTCTTTTTAAATATCAAGTTAATATCATTTATGATTTATGTTCAAATGACTGGCCATATTGTGAATTTTTGCAATTGTGTTTCTTTTAGAATAAGTCCATATCAAGTAACAGATGGGATAATTTTATCGGCGCTGGTATACAGGAAGGTTTCGTGAACAGCACAACAGATGATGGTGGAACAATAAACAATTCCAAAGTGACAGGACCAAAAAGCAATTTACATTTTAGCAATAACGACATTCTTAACAAACCAAAGCGAGTTGTTTATGAAACTAAAGTGCATTTTGAGGTTCGAAAAAGAGGAGGACGATGTGTTGCTGTTAACATTAACGTCATTGATACTCCCGAACAAACGGTAAGTTGTTGAAACATTTTTATTTTGAGTTCCTGACCCCACACCCTGACCCTAACACCTAACCCCTTAACCGCAACCAGTGAAATTAACTGCATGATGATATACATCATAGAAAATGAATAAGAGACCCTGTTAGCTGAATTGTCAATTTGGCGTCGGTTTCTGGTCGTGGTTGCAAATTATTTAAAATACACGCATCAATGATAAGTACAATCTTTGACAATATAGATTGGGACAATCTAGTTTTCACATGCATTTGGTTGTAATATACCATTTCCTGATACATATTTTCCACCCTCCCTCCCCCCACCCGTTTCAATGTTGGCGCCGCGCATCCAGACATCAGATTTTTGTTGGCCCAACATTGAACTGGGGGAACGGGGGGCGCTATTCCTTTCAAATTATATGAAATTACAGCAGCTGTCCCATAGTTTCTGGCAAAGATTGTAGATAAAAGATGAAAATGCATTTATAGTTGAAAAACAATTCAGTTGCTGAATTAGGTGTGCAACCTGTTTAGAAGTTTATCACGCGAGACGCACGCGTATTTATGGACGTTTTTGCGCACGAAACTACCGACGAGGGCAGGCAGCCGAGAAGCCCTGGGAACGAGGATGGGTTTACATGCATTCACAGACGCTTATTTTAGTCACCAGTCTTTTTGCAAAATATGTATAGGTATATCCACCAAACACTTGTTTGGGAGTTGGATAGCTTTTTAATTAAGTTACTTGAAAACACCTCGGAAAATGTTTTACTGTAAAATACCGTATGATAACATCGAAACGTGTAAACTTTTTATTGAAACAAACGTCCCAAATAATAATTCAAATAAAAGTTGTACATGTTTTTCTTAAATTATAGATGCAATCCGAACTCGGAGAAGCAAGCTTCCCTTCCAATGACTTTTAATACATGCAGGTTTGTACGTAAGATTAATTCAGATATTCCAATTTAGGAGAGTTCATACAGTACGAATTTCTGTCAAGACCGGGAGGGTCGGTTGAACACTGATCTGAAGCCGTGTCTAGAGTTACGTCGAAACAATAATCATGCTAACACACTTTTCGTTCGAATTTACTGCAAAAGGAGGATCGGAAACGTATACTAATAGTGTAATATACGCATTTTTACCTTGAGGAACACACAGCACCAACTAGGGATATGTGGTGTCTTGGGGGACACAGTCCCCAGCCAGAGTTCAGGGTGTTCAGGGTTGGTGGGGTTAAAGCCCTTGGACTAAATTTTAGGATTTCTAGTCTTTATTTTTTAGTTCAAAATCCTTAGATGATTAGATCAGTTGCGTTTATTAGATCAATTGCGGTGACTTTCCGTTTTCTGAAAATTACTGGTGCAAGCAGCTAGCATGTGGGTTTTTTTCTGAACGCTTTTTGACGTATTTGTCTTTTTAGGCAACCAAGCGAAAGCAAGTCTACCGGTGAAGATACAATCTCGTTCCCAGAGTATGCCTGTTCGCGGGTTATGTAGTGGCATGACACTACATAACCCGCGAACAGGCATACTCTGGGAACGAGATTGGTGAAGATACCACAATTTTGTAATATGTAATATACATTTGTACAGGCCAGGGTAACAATTTACCCATAAGGCAATAAATTAAGGGATTTTTAGTTGGACCATTTGTTCAGAAAATCATTACGTAATCAGATAACTGGAAAAAAACGTGTTTGGTAAAGTAGTCCGGTTTATTAATACTGTAATAGTGTAACTTTCGCCTCCTCTAGCAAGAACAGTTACAGTTATTCAGTACATAAAATAAAGTTAGTTTGTGTAGTTTTTGTATCTGCCACTTGTCAGGCTTGGCCAAAGGTTTCCTCAGCGTGGATTGTAAATAACCATGTTATTTTACAATCCATGGTTTGAGGTATATTGGTATTTAGACCATTTTGCTTTTGCAGTTTTGAGTTCAATATTTTATTGCTAAAATATGTTGAAATACTGGTATACAGACACAGCCTGGCATTTTAGGTACGCTGGTTTATTGAGACAGTATTATCGAGTATAATGATTCTGGTAACCCCCTGGCTAACAGGCTAAGACCTGACCACCTGAATTGTATAAAATTTTAATGAATACAAATGAGTACACTGTGGGATACATGAAGTATTGGCAATGTTGTTTCAAGATGGCGGAAAGTTTAAAAAATATTTGTCTGCTCTTTTTGACTCGGATATTTTAATACTTTCCAAACGGTGAAGCTTTTAGCAGTATTAATGAAGAGTAAAAGAAAATATGTCCAAGCATCTAAGAGGTACACTTTATGTTTTTGTTCATAATGAAACAAATATTAAAACAATGGTATAAAGTAGTTTTATATATAAAATACTTTCGTTTTCGATATGCTATAAAAACAAATAGTTCAAAGGGCTGGAATCAGTGGGAACTTGGCTGATTTTGTTCATTCTTTATATTTGTATAAAAGTATAGACAGCACAGAGATATTTATAATTTATACACTATAAATACAAAAATGTGCACACTCAAACATCAAAATTATGAAAACATTTAATATATAATATCAATAATGTATAAAACAGTAAACGCTGTGGATACAGGTCTGAAAGTATGAAACCAGATCCTAATGTGTAATATTGTGTCAGCTGCAGCATGCATACATACAACATTTATGTTGTTTTAGGCTATACAATAATTTGATCCTATCTATAAGAGCGTCTGTGAGGGAGACTATAAATGTGCAAGCCGAGGGGTCTGACACGGCTGAAATCTCGTACACTCGACTCGGAAATCAACTGAAATCAAACCCGAAATCACGAGAGATATAATATTAGTCAATTTTGAAATCAGAAATCACTAAAACTTCATATTATTGAGCCCACAGTCTTATATGACAGCGGTAACTCAGAGAAATCAGGTTAGAAATCACGTTAGAAATCAAGAAATGGCATTATAAATCAACAGAAATCCGTTTAGAAACCAACAGAAATCAGATTAGAAATCAAGAAATCACGTTTGAAATCGTGTGATTTCGAAATCTCGTAAGCTTCATGTGGCTGTGTCGGACCCCTCGGTGCAAGCAATTACAAGTTGGATGCTCAACCACTTGTCAACCAAGCATTTGCTTGGAATGTAGTGAAATTTACGTAGTGCCATTTTATCGTGTTTGACCCATTGACTCAGGGGCGGCGGAACAGGGGGGGGGCTAGGGGGGCTAAAGCCCCCCAGAAGTAAAAGTGGGGGGGCTTAGCCCCCCCAGAAAATTTGAATTTTTGGAAAAAATTTTGATAATTACGGAAAAATTTAGGTTATTTTTTGAAAATTTAGGTATGAGGGGACAAATTTGCAATATTTTGTTTAAAAAAAGTCTATTTCGGAAAAAATTTTTAGATATAAGCCCGAAAAAAATTTTTTCGTCCCTTTTTTTGTATATTGTACCCCTAAAATGGTACACTGACCGAAATTTTTTTTGGCGGGGGGGGAGGGGAGGTCGCCGAAAAAATTTAGCCCCCCTAGAATGAAATCTGTTCCGCCGCCGCTGCATTGACTCTCCCCTTGACAAGTAAAATTGTCTGGCATCAGACAGAGTAGAATCAAAAGTAGGGTGCAATGCAACTTGATGGGTTAACTAGACACATGGGCATATAGTCTGATCAACCCATTGAGTAACAGTGCTCTCCCTGTGATGAGTAAAATCATCTGGTGTTTGAGTAAACTAATAAAGTAGAGCATATTACAGCAGAGTGCAACTTAGAACAAATAGCAAAATTATGTCGGACAAGTAACTGCATTCACATAAAATCAGGTGTCGGACCTGTATCCACTCACTTGCTAACAGTAACAACAATAGGCTTAACCTATCAGATAACTACAAAAAATATATTGTGTTCAAAAATATACCACTCGTTAAACCACTCGTTCATCAAACTGCATTGAACACAGTGGAAGACAAATGTGGAAACAAAAGTGTGATAATATGGTAAAATTCCAAGATTCGAGATATTTCAACATCAAAATTTCATATCTTGTGAGAAGTGCAATGTCAACATCAAGTTTCCAGTAATTGTGCTGAGGAAAGGAAGGAACTTATGGAGAGGAAGGAGTTCAGGTTAGATTCATTTTATGCATAATTATGTAAATCCTCTCAAATGTACAAATATGCTGCATTGGCAGCAGAAGATCAGCTCAGTTGTGAGGGAGGCCAGACATGCTTCCTCAGAAAGTTTTGAGATCTATTTCTAGTGGGTATACAGCTTCTAGGACTCCTGTTTGTTCAGTTAAGACCCAGGGCATCAATCCTGGCGGGAGACATCCCTTTTTCGAATAGATTTTCATTCTTGGTTAGTTGGACAAAATTGTGCTAATTTGAGTACAGTTCCAAACTTGTCTGGTCCGGCCATATATATAAAATTAATTTCCTGCGCAAAATTCCTCAAATTGTAGTAACTGCAAATAGTTTCTGAAGAATCTGCACAAAACTATTCCTTTTTGAACCAAGAATTATACAGATTTCTGATCTTGCTCTTTGATAAAAAAGCATCCCCTTGGTTGCCATAATTTTTTTGGGAAACTATCCAACATTCCTGCGCATTTTCCCGAGGAAGAAATATTTCTAGCGCAAAATACAACTTTTCAGTCTGCCGGTATATGTACGAAAATCCAGTATACTCGCCACTGTTAAAAACAAAAATGGAAAACTGGATGATATATTAGAAGACGTCAAGTGCGTTCAAACCACCAGTACGATGGCATGTTGTAAACACTGGACTTTGGACTATGGACTTTGGACTTTGGACTTTGGACTTTCGATTTTGAAATTATATTTTTTAGATTTTCGTATAATTATATTAAAATCTAAGCAGAGAACGAAAATTTACTGCTGAAAAGCGTGCTACACTGCATGCACATGCATGATATATTAATACAAGGTAAAAAATACTCAGTATCAGTTATATAGGTATACTAGCAGTGCAATTTCATACGGATATAGGGATTATCCAATATTCTGGGATTTAATATTTAAATCTTATATAATATTTGTGTTTATAGTATGCATAGTACAATTTATACTGCAGAACTTCTTCTTTATCATATAGATAATAGATTAATTGTGTCAGAAACAATTGTAACAAAAGTGTCTGGCAAATACAAAATATTAACTATATACAAGTGATTATTATTGCGCCTATTGAGTATTGTATTATGTATCTATTGACTGTTCATCTTTGCATATTAGTTTATACTAGTACTGTATTGTGTAATTGTTTACTCCGTTACACAGTAACGTTTTGTTAATGTTACTTATTTTTGAAAGACATTCTAGTTAGCTATCCTTATCACTAACTGCTTCAGTTATTATTAGTAATAAGTGTTAGTAGATGGACAGGAATATTCGAACGGAAATTTACACACTTTTTAAGACCTACTCAGTTGTGTGTGAGAAGGCAAAAATCTATGTCTATGTGCTTCAGGTAGTCTAGCAACTATTTGCCACGTTTACTGTAATACTACCCCCACTTGCAAGTGATGAACCAGGCGGGAATCGTAATCGTAGTATAAAGATTAATGCACAGCCGCAGAAACGTACGCAAAAGAGCCATATATAGACAATAATATAGACATAAATATATACATAAAGTAATACTATAGATTATCATAATTACTAATCAGCACTACCAATTAATAATGTATCATACATTCGTATTTTATAAAGTATGATGACTATGAGAGTTTTCGTGTTCACTATGCCGACTATGGCTGAAACATTTATGAAAAGCTACAACTGACACAGACAAAATACATTGTAAACTCAGCCTATTTAGGCAGGTGCTAAACCGGTGTAAACTATTATGCAAAGATGAACAATACTGTCATTAGTATTTCTGCGCAAATGAATAAATATATAACAAATCCTACAAGTTGTCAAGTTGATTGGTAAAATTTGACAAATTCCCCGATAATCACGGCTTCGCCTTTGGCGAATAATTGTTCAAAGCCAAAGGCGCAATAATAATCGCGTGTAGTTTATATTTATACGTGATAGTTTCTCAATATTTTGTATTTGCCAAGATACTAATTTTATGTCACAATTGTTTTTATAAATCTATTATCTATACGATAAAGAAGAAGTTCTGCAGTATAAACTGTACTAAACATACTATAAATACAAATATTATAATAAAATTTCAATATTAAATACTGAAAAATATTACTGAGATGATCCTGTTATCCCACAGGCTATATCTATGAAATTGCACTGGTATACCTATATAACTGATAGTATTTTTTACCTTGAATATTATATCATGCACAAATTTTCGTTCTCTGTTTAGATTTTAATTAATATAATTATACGAAAATCTTAAAAATAATATAATTTCAAAATCGAAAGTCCAAAGTCCATAGTCCAAAGTCCAAAGTCCAGTCCAGTGTTTACAATATGCCCCAGTACGATTCGAAGACGACTAAAAGGCCGTTTTCCACTTTGCCCGTATCGTTCCGTAACGTATCGGTGAGCCAACCTCGTCCCCAGGGTCTTCCTCGTGGTGGCGCGTGAGCTGAGGAAGACCCTGGTAAAATACGATGAAATCTCCAAGATTCTTGGAGATTTATCGCATGCGCAGTAACGACAACGTTATGTTGCTGACTACAATTAGCGCTGGCGCTTACGATTTTCTTGCTTTAAAAATACACATGTTTTGTTGATTCTTTATGTATTTATTCTCAAAGTTTTAACAAATTTTAAGAGAAATACTTCAGATGTAAGCTGTGAACACACATGTACACAAAACTGTGCAACATTCGTCATCATATTGTATCAATTTGTCGGAGTATGGCGCTCATATTTGTGACATTGTTTTGTTCGCTTTGGCAACCCTCGTATATATCAGATGCTGTTCGGCCTCAAATGCGACTGAATGAACACTGATAGTGTTGCCTGGAATATGAAATGATATTGACTGATTGTTCAGTATATCAAGGTAGGTACTGTAGTATACATTTATACTGAATTTATTCGATTTATTTTCACACGTTGCTTTCACATTTTCCCAGAGTCTCGGAAATCACATTTTCAATTAAACACAGTTTCACACATGTATTATACAAGACTTCATTTCACACATACAGAAAGACTTCATTTCACACATACAGAAAGAGTTTTAATCAAATTATGATAACAGTATGATAATTATGATAACAGTAGAAATTGCTTAGAAAGATTTTATTCTTTTTTCCATATACAGTACAACTGTTATTTTGATTTTCTCTTTCCTATATTTTCTTTAATTAAAGCAAGTACTGTTCTGTTACAAAACAACTAATAAACATGTTATTATTTTAACAGGTGAACCATATTTTACATCAACTTGGGAAAAGCCAACTTGAATTCCATGGAAATATATAATCATGTCATCAATTAGATAGTAAACAATGATTAAGAATTAGATGGCCTCAAGATTATATTTCACATTGACCAACATGAAAATTTTTAAATGGGAATGAGTTGATGGCATTATAGTTTTCTAATGTTCATCAAGGTGAAGAAACTCACTATACCTTTCCCTGGTACAGAGCCATGGTAGTAATCTTAGAATATTTTCATGATGCCTCTGTTCAGTAGTTCTTTAACCAGTCTAGTATTATGACTGTATTATTTTAAATAGCCTTGTTTGACTTTTGTATTTTGTTTCTTTAATAATACAATCATTTACAATGGTGAAAATTACAGTTTAATATTTGTATTTCTAATGATATTACTT